TTTCTTTCTATTTTTAGTAGAGACGGGGTCTCGCTCTTGCTCAGGCTGGTTTCAAACTCCTGACCTCGAGCAATCCGCCCGCCTCGGCCTCCCAGTTCCCTCCCAGTTTAACAACTCTGAAACTGGGATGGGTCTTGTTAGCTAGACAATAGTCGTGGCATAGTTGTTGTCATTGCAGAATGGATGTCAGCTGCTTGGTTGGAAGCCATAGAGACAATAGTGGAGCACTCTGAAATGCTGTGTTACCAGTATGCTCCATGGCACCAAGGACGATGACACGCGGGAAACAGTGACATCAGCTGCTCAGAATCAAAACGTGATTTGAAAGAGGTTATGTTCTCTATGTGAAAGAGTTTGGGAAATGCATTCATTTATTTAGTTGGCCTGCATTTTATTTTTTACATGTGAACAAGAATGAAATTATTTTTTTCTTTAAAAAAATTATTTTTGGCCAGTCACAGTGGATCATGCGTATAATCCTAGTACTCTGGGAGGCTGAGGCGGGAGGATCACTTGAGCTCAGGAGTTCAAGACCAGCCTGAGCAAGAGCGAGACCCCATCTCTACTAAGAACAGAAAAAATTAGCCAGGCGGCATGGCACACACCTGTAGTCCCAGCTACTTAGGAGACTGAGACAGGAGGATTATTTGATCCCAGAAGTTTGAGGTTGCTGTGAGCTGGGCTGACGCCATGGCACTCTAGCCTGCATGACAGAGTAAGACTCTGTCTCAAAAAGAAAATTTTTTTTTAATTATGATAAAAAATACATAATAACATAAAATGTACCATCTTAACCATTACTAAGCAAATAATTCAGTGGCATTAAGTACTGTCACATTGTTGTGCAGCCATCACCACCATCCAGCTCCAGAACTTTTCATCTTATAAAACCAAGACTCTATAACCATTAAGCAATAACTCCCCATTTCTTTCTTCCTCCAGTACCTGGCAGCCACATTCTTTCTTTCTTTCTTTCTTTTTTTAATTGAGTCAGCAGCAGTGTCTTTTTATTTTAGTATTATTTTTAATTTATAGAAACAGGGTCTTGCTCTGTTGCCCAGGCTGGAGTGCAGTGGCACAATCATAGCTCACTGTAACCTTGACCTCCTTAAGTGATCCTTCCACCTCAGCCTCTGAAGTAGCTGGGACTACAGCCACAAGCCACCATGCCCTGCTAATCATTTTATTTTTGTAGAGATGGGGTCTTGCTGTGTTGCTCAGGTTGGTCTCGAACTCCTGGCCTTGAACAATCCTCCCACCTTGCCCTCACAAAGCACTGGGATTGTAGGCATGAGCCATCGTGACTGGCCCACATTCTAACTTTCTATCTCTATGAATAGAAATACCTCTCATAAGAAGAATCATATATTTGTTTCTTTCTGTCTGGCTTTTTTCACTTTGCATAACATCTTCAAGATTCACCGACGTTGTAGCATGTGTCAGAATTTCCTTCCTATCTAAGGCTGAAGAATATTCCATTGCATGTACATACCACATTTTGTTTATCCATTTATCCACGGATAAACACCTTGGGTTGCTTCTGCCTTTTGGATATTGGGAATAATGCTGCTATGAACATGAGTGTACAAATATGTCTTTGAGACCTTGTTCTCAGTTCTTTTGGGTATATACACAGAAGTAAAATTGTGGGATTATATGGTCATTCTATTTTTAACTTTTTGAGAGACTGTCACTGTGTTTTCCATCATGGCTGTGCTGTTTTACACAACCAACAGTGCACAGATTTCAATTTCTCCATATACTCACCAATAATTGTTATTTTCTTTTTTTAATATTAATAGAATCCAGCTTAGTGGGTATGAAGTGAAATTTCATTGTGATTTTGATTGGCATTTCCTTAATGCTTAGTGATGTTGAGCATCTTTTCATGTGCTAATTGGTCATTTGTATTTCTTCTGTAAAGAAATATTTATTCAAGTCTTTTGCTCATTTTTTAATTGAGATGTTTGGGTTTTTGTGGAATGATTTTTATACCTATGTTTAAGTCTGAAAGCGCTTTCAAAAATATAAAACAAATATTCTAAGTGAAAAAGAAGCATTATATCACAGATTAAGTGAAGGTATTTTTTTTTCTTCTTAGTGGTAGATAAAATAACATTGGACTTATAATTGATGACATTTTAGATTCAATTAAATAATTGAATAATAACGTAATGAGAGGATAATTTAGTGAACTGTTGTCAAATGGACTGAAATAATTTTAATTTCTATAAATAAAAAAATGTTGAACACATAAGAATGTAGGACTTATACTATATTTAAATAAGGGATTATTCTGAATCCAAATGTGGTAGTAAATGAATTAAAATAGTTGAATTTTGAGTAGCAAGTCATAATTTTACATCAGCAAACAGGATCTGGGATAATGCCAAAAACTGGAAAGAAAAGGAGACAGTATGCCAGTATGCATTTGTTTTTAAGTTGTTTAAAAAAAAAAAAAGCCCATTCTTTGCAGGAAAAAAACTGATGGGGGGGGGGATGCCATCTCCTTGGTGAAAGGAGATCATATACAATCCCAATCATTTTCCACTTCTCACCCAAAAGCATCAAATTATATCTAGCAGAGCTGACCTCAGGAGTCAACTGTTATTATTGCAGAAACTCCTTAGACTGAACTGACCCTTCTATCTTTTCTACTTCTTTGTTCCTGATGCCTGAAATTCCGTTCACTGAATAAAAAAAATCTCTTAATTCACAATGAGATAACACTTAAAAATACAATTGCCTGATTGTAGTAATCACTTGTAATGGTCAGAGTCCTTACTTGTAGACAACACAACAGTGCCTACTCTAGCTTAGATTAGGCAGAAATCTAGAAATCTTAGGTTAGGCAGGGGAATATTTAATAGCTACAGAATCTCCAGGAGAACCAGCTAACTAGGCTTGTATGTGCATACAGCCACTATAATGATACCAGAAAAAAATGCCCGGTTACTGTCCACTGCCTGCCAACTGTGATGTCACGAAGTCTGCCTTGACTGCTTGGGGGGACCTGACACCTCTGCCACTGCGCTTGCTGGAAGGCCCAGTTCTACAGAAGGATCATTCTGTAGTTCACGTCTACATCCAGGTCATGCAGGGGGATGTTTGATTGGGAGATTCTAGGTCACATGCCTGCAGCAGAGCTCAAAGGAGTCTAGAAAAGGTCATTTTCCACATTCTCATCTCTATGATATAAGAAGGCAAATAAAAGGGGTTGAAATAAAAGGGATTGAAATAGGGAATGGGGGGTTGGGTTGGCAAATTTGACAGTAGCTGCCAAACCGCTGAACTGAAACTTAAGCTGAAATATAAACAATGAATCAATAAGTATAAATAGTTAACTTAGTAGCTTTCCCAACTTCAGTAAGACAAGGTCCCCAAAAGAGACTGGGGCTTGTTTGGGCATCTGAAGTCAAGGAGGGCATCTGAGAACACATTCTCAGAAGAAGGAAAGAAGCCAGGCAAGGCAGAAAACTGAGGCTGGAGCAGACAAAAACTCCCCAGTTCATCACTTACTACCAGGAAGGCCTGGTTAACAAGATGGGACAAACAATTGTCATCGGTTTGAAATGTAGCTCTGCTGAGTCTGCATTAGGAAAGGTTTCCTCTTTGTTTTTAAGGGAAAAGACTTAATTATACCTTGACTTCATTACCAATTGATTCATTGAATGATTACAGTATATGATTGTATTACAGTAGACATATTAGCTGGAAAGATTTTGTCCTAAAAATCTCTGATAATTTACAGTGTTTGGGCTCCATGAAGCCAGGTATCAATGACATCTGTAGAAGTCACCTCACACCCACCTTGCAGACCTGTCACGTGACTTGGCTTCCAGAGAGATAGCTGACAACTTTGTCAACTTCATTGAGCAGTGAGGTATAATTTATATGTAATAAAATACTTCCATGTTAAGTATACGGTTTTGGTCAATGTATACACTCATGTGATCACCGCCACAATTGTGAATAGGCAACATGGGCTCCTAGGAAGGAAGGGGAGCCCAAAGAGCAAATATGTGTAATGTATCTCCTGCATTTTCCCAGCCAGTACATAAAATAGATTCAATTGTCATGAATATTAGCTTCAGTGAAGAGAAACATGCCAGGCCACCACAGAAATATCATCATTCTTGCTTGACAAGCTTTTTTCTCACTGTAGTTGGCCTCCCATGCAGCTATCTTGGGCTTCCTCAAAGCATGGCGGTTTCAAGGCAGTTGAACTTCTTATATGGCAGCTCCAAGAGTCACCATTCCAAGAGCCCCAGGCAGAAGCTGTAATGCTTCTTATGACCTAGCCTCAAAAGTCTCACAATGTCTCTTCTGCTGCATTCACTGCTCACACAACTCCATGGGGCCAGCCAGGGAAGAGGAATTAGGCTCCACCTCTTAATGGGTGTTGTTGCATGTGTATATAAGAAGAGAAACGATTGACAGGGCTGTCTTTGGAGACTCTCTACCACAGCAGACCTTTAATGGCTTAAAGAATCATTGAGAAGGCTGAAAAAACAGATGAAGCCACACATCACAGAACTGGACCATCAAAGGATCTGCTGCCTTTTGTTCAAAGAGGGCAACACTTGCAAAACTGGGAAGCTACTCTACAGCTACCAGCTCCAGAAACATGCATTTGCCACAGTCAGGATGTTACAGTGGTCAGAAAGAAGCCACAATCAGGAAACTACCATGATCAGAAATCCCCATTAGAGCTGCCAGTTTTTGAAGCAACCTACCCTCTAGCATCTCCCCCAGCAAATGGATGTCAGGGGCTGGGACCTCTGCTGACACCACTGTGAGCAAGCTTGCAACCCCAGCAGCAGCAGCACTGCCACACCTGCTTCCCACTCTCCAAGTCTCCTACAAGTACATCTGGTTGGCAGGATCTACCTAAATCACAACAGAATTCTAGCTACAAGGGAGTCTAGAAAATGTAGTTAACTTTCCAGGCTCTGCAGTGTAGCAAGACATATGAGAAGGGACTAGAATGGATGCTTTAGTACCATTCTACCATATCCACTGCAAATATCTACCAGTACTGTTCCTGGAATACATTTGAGAAGGATTGTTCCCAACAGGGAAACCAAATCCAAAGGTGAATTCTGTGAGTCTAAACCACTAGAATCTACCTCACTGACCCCTTTCTATATGGACCTAACCCCATTACTCCCCAACAGAGGCCAATCCAGGGTCTCCATCAATAATGAAAGATCATACTTTCTCCAGGCAAAAACTCACCAAAGCAAGTCTAGGCTGTAGATCTTTTACAGACATATAAGCCCCATATATGTTTGGGTTCCTCGTGTGTTTGCTGCTACTTGGACTTGGCTATACTTGAACTTTTCATTTCAATGGATTGTTTTCCTAATGTTGCATCCTTTTTAAATGGTCAACATGCCACTCTGTCCTCCCTGACTTCCTCCATTACTTGATATACTCAGTGTTTACTTGTGTTATTGATTGACAAGATTTATTCTGGCTCTAGTTGTCTATTTGTGACAGCTTATGAGCTTTTTCCTCCATTTCCTCAATAAAAAAAATAAGGAAACCAAGCAACTTTATCCAATTCTCAAGCTTTTGTCCACTTTTGCTATTCCTGTCACTGTCTGCTGTGTCATCAGCAGAGTGCTTTGGTGACAATCAGATTTTGATGGATCAAACTGGCAAAAACACATTAAAGAAGGTTGCAATAATTCCAGCCCCAAATCCAAGCAGATAAGGATATTACTCAAGAACTTACCCCAAGTGACAGAAACTGAACTCATCCAAACGAAAGACTCTTTAGCATTCAGCAGCCCAGATTTCAAGTCTGTCTGCTTTTGGTAGTGGTGTTATGTATTTATTTCAAAATCATCTGGAAATCTCTGGCTCCTCAAGGCAGCTCCCTTTAAATCTTTGTGAACAACATAGTGTCATCATTTGCCTTGATCCACTGATGTTTTCTATGTCCTCAGGCCAGTCCAGCCATTGACACAAAAACTAATATTTGGTGACAGATGGCTCTGTGAGCTTCTAGTAAGGCCATATCTCACTTTTGGAACACTAGTGATAACCGAGTTCCCCTGGAACCATATTTATTGTACTATTATTGTGCACAGACTCATTAGATGTAAAACACTCTGCCATTCAACTTGGTCCTCCTCTTCCCCAGCTGTCCTGCTGGCAGCTCAAAGATGACAACAGATGACGCTGAGGGACAGCCCAACTGCTATCTTCTGTCTTCCCAAATTTAAAGCTGGGTGCTACTCAAGTGAGGGAGCGTGCCAGAGAAAAGAGCTAGAAGCTATTCTGCGCCATCCCGTGGTTTAATCACCATGGTAGTTCACTAAATGGTATTCGTAGGGTCTAGCCAGACAGGCCTTCCTGGCACTATCAAACACACTCATGACCACTGCATGAAATCAACCCAAATCAGACTGCATCCTCCCTCCAGTCCCACGAGAATGCTGTCAGTCCTGCATTCCCAACTCTTGCTGAGGACCAGTTTTTCTGCCCTTTTCAGATTTGCTTGCATCCAGTCTCAATGTACAAACAGTTCTCATAGGCATTTTTGCAACAATACAAGAAGTAGCACTTTATTCAATAACTGGCTTAACAGGAGCATTCATTCTGAGTACTTGCTGTGCCCCAGGCACTATATCAGGCCAGATGTGCAGAGAGATGAGTTTGGAGAGATGAGTTTGGCATGGTTCCTGCCCTCAAGGACTTCTCTGTCTCATCAGGAAAAACCAGGTCATCTCAAGGTGAATTGTTTAGGGGGATCTTGCAGCTGCTATGACAAATAGGCCCCAAAATACAGTGGCTTAGAGAATACAGAAATTTATTTTGCTGTCATTAACAGACCCAAGTTTGGCAGGTGGCTCTGCTCCACCTGTTCAGAAACTCAGGTCCCTTCCATTTTCTTCCTCTACAATCCCCAGGGTATCACCCTGGTCTGCATGGCCAAGGTGGGTGCAGGCATTTGCACGAAGGAAAGAATAGAAGTCCTAGGAAAGGGATGTCCTTTTAAGGAGTGGTGTGGAGTTTCTCATATTCCATTGGTGAGTATCTAGCTACTTGGCCACACCAAGCTATAGGGTAGCTTGGAAAACAACCATCAGCTGGACAGCCATATTCCCAGGAACCAGAGGAAAGTAAATTTGGGTGGAAAACTGGCAGTTTTTGCCACACAATGCTACTATGCTAAATATCAATAGAGGAACATCCCTGGAGAGGCCAAACCATGCAATGGTTAAACAGGTTCAAGACAAGCCTATATTAGAATCCCAGTACTTAGCACAGTGTCATACACATAGTAAATACCTTATAAATATTAGCCAACAGGACATTATTTGCTGTTCCTTGGAAATGCACTTAAAGGATTAGATAGACTGCCTGTGAGTGGGTCTTATTAGGCTTCAATAAAGCAATAACCTTTGACCTGAATTTCAAAGGACCCATAGGAAGTCAGTAAGTGGACAGATGGGGGTCCAGTCATTCAGCGCATGTGTGTCCAGGAAAGTGTGTGACCCTATCATTTTTACCCATGAGCAGTTAGAATTTTCTCATACCAAGGGAGCTCATATTAGGCTCCTGAGACTCACATTCCAACCCTGTCATGACATTGAACCTCCACAAATTCCCTTGGGAGGATGTGGGAGAAAAGAGACTACCAATATGCATTATGAGATCAGTGACTAGGTGTCACAGTGGCACTGAGGACAGATAGCAGAAAAGCCAAGACTATGATCCAGTGAGAAACTCATCCTCCATGTCTTGGAAGATAAGAATCCAAACTGGAGTCTTTACAGTCTTAATGTCCCAAATGATAGTCTTTAAAAAATAAAAGTATACAGTGTGGTCAGCTAGGTTTGGGAAATGCTTCATATTAATATTATACTCCCAATGCATGTGAGCTATCAGTGCCGCTGGTGTAGTGGTATCATGCAAGGTTCCCAATACATGTGAGCTTCTTAAACTCTTGGAGAAATCCTTCAATAAGGAAATTCCTGTTTTCCCCTTTTTTCATGGAATAGTTTGATCACTGCTTTTCAACAGAGGCACTTTGATATGGCCAAGGAGCCGAAGAATTTTGAAATACAACCTCCTCTCTACTAGTATCCTGTTCCCGTGGCTGCGGGCCTACAGGAAATTTCCACTGGCCACAGCTCCTCAACCCTGTGTGTGGTAAATTGTCTGTTTAGTCCCCCACCCCCACACCTGAGGTCATGAGCCTCTCCTTCTGGTATATAAGTCCTGTGACCCATGGCAGAATTGACCCACTGCCAGTTCCAGGCCTAAGCCCTGTGAAGGTCTGGCAGCTTCTACTTTTGCAGTTCAGGGGAAGCCAGCAGTTGTGTAAGAAGTCCAAGTACTCTGAGACCACCATGCTGTAAGGAAGCCCAAGCTAACCACATGGAGAGGACAGACAGAGAACCCGGGAACCCAGCCCACAGCAAGCTACTCCTTTCAGCCCCAACCTTTTGAGCACCACCAGTGATAGTACATGAAGCAGAGATGAGTGCCTGCCCAACGTACAGACTAGGGGCAAGTAAGCAATTGCTCTTGTTTTAGGCCTTTGTGTTTTGGACTGGTCTATGATGCAGAGTAGATATTCAAAACAGTGTGTTTTCCATCCACTGAGCACAGTCCTAAGCAGACCAGCTGGGTCCTCTGATACCTTCACTCTTCTTTCCTCTATGTTTTTTTCTTTCCTGCTGGTCTAAATCCTCCAGCAACAATCTTCAAAGAATAAGTTCCTACCTAGTCACATACTATTATCACATTGAAGACTGATAACATGAATTCAATAATGCCATCCAGTATACAGTCCATATTCAAATTTCCCTCTTTGTACATAAATCTTCTCTTATAGTATATTGTTTTTAACTCAAGGAGCCACTTAAGGCTTACTCCTTGCATTTGGTTTTTATGGACATG